TTATATTCTATTTGTGTAATATAAACGCGTTAAAATGCCTTTTAAACTATTGTATGATTTAAAGTTTTAAAAATACGAATTGATTCTTTAATATTTTTTTATAACTGTATTTTACTAAAAGAATACGAACCAGGCGGTAACATTAAAGTCTCGTCTATATTCCGATCAAGCCAGCGTAGCGAATTAACAAGTTTTGGCAACAACTTTGTTGCTGGATTTCCGAAACAACTCTAATTGCTTTCGAATTGTTTGAATACAAAGTTTATTGAATTAAAAAGTTTTAAAGAACAAAGATGAAAATAACTGGAAAAGCTTTTGTAAAATATTGAAATAGATTCAGCATTAGTAAGGAAGGTAATTGAATCTAAGTTGGCAATATTTTCCTATTCTAGTATACAAGTGTACGATCTCTGTAGAATCCAAGAACATAATATTTAAATACTAACATCAATTACATCTTTCAATAAGTCTTTCGCTTGATATTTTAGATTTAGCTCAACCGTTTAGCTTATACAAGCTTATCGCGATAAACGAAACTCGTTTTAGAAAGTTTAACTTTCTGCGAAACGAAGCTTTTGTTGATAATTTTAATAACAGCTAGTCATAAAACGCACTTAGATATTAAGATAAATTGAAAGTTTTTATAGAAAGAAATTATAAGAAACGACCCGCAGCCGTTCAGATAATCAAATATTGTTTGGTGAAAAGAGAGCTTTTTACTATTGAGAATTATATACAAGAAAGAAATATTTTCTCTAAGTAATATAGATGTAGAAGTGAAATAAAACCTGCAATAGTTTTTCTGGCATCGCCTTGTAAGCACTTGTCCCGTAGTGCACAACAGAATTTCTTGTTTTCCCGCTCGGCGGTCGCGTTAGGCAGGAACATGGACAGTATGGCTACATCCTCATTATTCTCCCTCGCCCTTCGTATCCTCTCTTGCCCTACAGTTTTAGTAGTTAGGTGCAGGCGAGATTTGAAATCGTCACTCAAAACGTCCGCAGACATTTTCCCGCCGTTTAAAAAAAACTTTTTAAATTTAATACCGATTAAAAATTACACAGTCGTTTACTTTTAATTATCAAAAATGTGAAAACCGTAAAATTTAGCGTTTGATTGACAATTTTAGTGTCACAGATGAGAAAAGCGCGGGAATTTACGAATGGAATGTTCGAGTAATGGCCGTGCAGGCTTCGCGGCTGGCGGTGCGCTACTGGCTACTGATGCGAGGGGCACAACACAGCGCTCGCCTACACCCGGCACTGGCAGGCTGTGGATTAACTTAATTGATCGCACACGATAACAGCTCCTTTAGAATTTCCTTTACACGTCGCCGGTGCTAAATAATGACAGGGGACTTTAATTGAACGGATCTTACATACAATTTGATGACACAATTTGTTTACAAGGATATTTAAAACATGACCTATAGATATTTATTTAAATTAAAAAAATAGAGTATCTGCCACAATCAGAGACATAAATGGCGTCCTTTAGTGAAGATTTACGTTGAGAAATCTATATTACTTAACCAGAAGCAATGTTGTCTTATATGAGTGACTATTAAATATGCATTAATTCGACAATAAAAGAAAATATAAGTTAATACACGGAACAAAGTTCATGTTTGTATTTGCGTATGTATATTGGTAGGGAGAGCAGACTGTCATTTTTTTACCGCGGGGTCCGCGCTCTCGATGGTTCATCATATTTTTAAGTGGTCTGGGTGACTACTCGGGAGTTTTATAAGCGTTAATACTTTTTCGTACGATTTCTATACGAAATAGTAAAAACAAGTGTATTTAGGAAGTGTAATAATGTCATGGTAAACGTGAGATCATTTAGTAAAGCGTTACTTATAGTGTTAAATTAATGACTGCGATATGACCGAGCGAGGATTGAAATGGCCGATAAATAATCAAAATGATATTACATCTTTGACCTTACTTGAATTATAACGTACGTGCCTTTACCTCACCTCGTAAATTAATCAAATGGCTCTCACGTGTAGCTAGACTAGTATCGGTACGTACTAGTTTCAGAGCCAGTCGAGGTATAGAATACGAATTATTAGGGTTTCGAATAAAACGTTTTAACGACTAATATCGAGTATGATTTTGAAGATTAAGTAACATTGAGGTTATGTTGACTGTCATTAGTAAATTTATATAAATAAGTACATTATTTGTGAATTACTTGCAACATTGGATAACCTAGCTATATTTTTTATATTAATGTATGCAAATATATTTAGTATCGATTTTTATTCCGCAAACAGTAGGCATGACATAGAACCATAAAAATAATCGATGATTCATCGAAATATGAGTTGTAAATCAATTGAAATATGAGATTTGACCACAAACATACAAAGATCAACCGCGGTACAGAAGTGACACCATATAATTGAAATATCAAGTAAAATCAATATAGTAATTAAACATTACATAAATTATGAACCAACTTTTATTAAAAATGTTGATGTAATAGAAATAATATTTGTACTAGGATGTTGTAATATGTGACTAGAATTCTACTTTAGTATTAACGTACGTGACACATCTGGTTAGGAATTTATTCCTAGATTTGGTCAAATTTAAATATATTTGTCCATCGCAATGGCGTATAATTTATTACTAACCATTAATGTCGCCTACGCGATGACTCAATTACTGTTAACTTAGTGTCATTCTGATTGATCAGATTAAAAAATGAATTTAACAATGGGTTTACAAAAAGCGTTTGTTAATTTAAATAATCCTTTTGATTTTTTTATTTATAATAGCACATATACAATAATTTAAGCACACATCATATTAAATAGGTCATTTTGCACTACCTATGTTCTACGGGTGAAAATCTATATTGGCTTTGCAGTTATTTACCATTAAATCGTATACTGAGTTTAACATTTTTAATTTGAGGTTATCTAACCTTTTATCTAAAAGTCTATTACTCCAGGTTCGTAATCCGAGTAGTTTAGTGGATTGATCTGATGTAAAACAAGGTTAACGGTTTATCACTTCTGTATTGTAGCAACGAGCGTCAGTTGTAACGGTAACAAAGCTTGCGGTAACACGATTATGTTGCCAAGAGAATTATACGCGAACACACGTTATTTTTTAATGTAAATATAATAGAAATTTGTATAAACTATATGAAATATCTAAACTCTTTAATGCTAATAAAGCAACTCGTACGTATTGTGCTTAATGGTGTGCCTATTTCCACCAGCCATGCATCTCTCTCGCCGGTCTCAATTTATATCACAAATGGAAATTGAATCTAACATCCTCGAATAGTTCCGACACGTTAGTGAATTAACTTGTGATACAATCCGACGACGGGCGTGTCGTAAATTGCCGACTCGCGCCCAATTAGGCCTCGCAATGGCCAGTGACAGCGACGCCTTACTTATGCTGTCACAGAATTAGAAAACTAAATTGGATTGATTGAGAGGTCACCATTAATAAAAAAAATTAACCAAGTTAGCGTACGCAAATTTACATACAGCAAAACCACCCTTCTGTGAGCTGGGTGAACATGTACGATATTAAAAAAAATCGTCTTGTGGAAATTAAAAATTAATAGCTTTAAGCGACCGGGAATATACCATGACTAGGTACAGAATCAGCGTAGGTAGCCCTATTCATGTGCATGAGCGCGAAATATGAACTTCCTATTAAATGTAGGTATGTTACATGAACGAAAACTCGAGGGGACGTGTTTGACTGAGCTACACAAAAGGACTTGCTCGTATACCTACAGACGGAATTTACGAATTCAATTATATTACAACTGTGAACTTTGCGGTTAGGTGCCAATTGAATATACAGGCAACCCTATCTCATTTTGTTTTAAAAATAATTCTTTTGCACAGGTTCAGTAATGAAAATTCGCATTAAGACTTTGTTGATTTTAAATTATAATTGATTATTATTTTTATAGCTCTTGTTTTAAATATCAAAAGAACCCTCAACGCTATTTATTGTTTTCCATTAAGGCCAATAATACAGGCAGTTATTGCACGAAAAGGGCATATCGAAAACGACAACATATCAAATACGACACATAAAGGAGAACAAGTTAAAAGTATGTGACATATTCTAGGAACTCGCGGGTCGAAATCGTTATGCGCGATTTAAAAGTCAAAATTATGCCCCGTTATGTGCGCGCGATATACGAGGCTCCGACATTGGCAATGGCCGGGTTTTTTCTGTAATAACCTTATCGACTCCTTATCCAGCAAGGGTAAGTCACAGACCTTAAAAGGCTGGTCAGGCCACGAGTCATCGAGGATTCCTGTCTGTACATATGCTAGTTTACCACTAACGAAGCAATTCTTGTAAACTGTTTAGCATCTAAAATCGGAAAAAGTCCGTGTGACTATAAAATAAAAAAGATTAAATGTAATATTACAACCCTTGTTACTAAATCCATAAAGCGTATACGCCTGGTTACGTACTCTATAATTCCTCCTAAACTTGTCCAAAAAACTTAATCAGATTTATCATTATAAATATAAAAATAATTGGATACAAATATAAGACCATTATATGTCGGTAAGCATGAGTCATTCGAACGTTTCGATAAAAAATCCCTTGTAACGACGATTAAAGGATTCTTTACGACTTGATTCATCGCACCTTATTTAGAAGTATCAATCAGTTTGCTCTATTTATACATTATGCTAGAATACATGTTCGAAGTATCCTAATACGCGTGAAGTATGCACGAATTAAACCTTATGTTTGTATGCCGAGCTGTTTATAAAACGACTATTTGTTTTTTTTGCTAACTATTCGCATCGGTAATTAGGAACCTCGGGGATTTCACAGATTTTTCAACTTAAATAGAATTATTAAAAAAAATAGTTAGCTTTGATACTGTGTTTCGCTTTGTTATCTTTACATGTACCGCCATCTGTCGGTAGGATCAGAACAACCATAGTTTGTTCGCGTACTTGATTAAAATGAAAAAATATGAAAGTAGATACTCACCAGCACGGAAGACCTCGCCGCAGCCATCGCAGCGGCTGGCGAACTGTGCGTCGTAACAGTTGCCGCAGTAAATCTTCTCGAGCTTAGAGCCGAACTGCTTGTCGACGAGCGACACGCGGCACTTGGCGCACAGGAAGCACGCCTCGTGCCAGTGTTTGTCCTTGTACGACAGGTCCTGGACAATATACAACAGTTTCAATTTAAATAAATCTACGTACTTATTACTACAATAGAGGTTAAATCTTTTATGCCCGATCAATTATTACGATCAATTATTTTTCCATAAAGCGATCAGCCAGGAGTCACAACTACTATTTCCATGGCCATCTCAAGGGATGCAACAGGAATTAGGGCAAAGATGATGCTCGCCGTCGTGTCGACATCTTAAAAGTTAAATTACAATCTACGTTGATATTAATAACATATGTAAATTTTGTACAGATCCCAGAATATTTGCGACGAATAAAATTTTAAATAGCAGTAGTCAAACGTGAATTTGCGATTGTTAGAATATGTGAAATATAGTCCTTGATCGTCGTAATGTCACATTTAGTCTACTCTTCCATATTAATGGGATACAAGCCCCATGTAAATAGTGATCGTTGCTAACACATTGTTAAAGCAGTGTGGGTAGAAATTATAATACATTAGGCAGTTTTTTCTATTCTACAATTTTCTTTATCCTTGTCTACTGTTCACTACCTACAATCAATGAACCGTTAGGTTATGACAATGAACTTTGTCAATCGCTTAATTTTTTTTACAACAATAGAACATACGTAATATGTTTCATTGATTGTTGGTAGTCTGTGATTTAGAATAGTTACAATTTCCTTCGTAAGTAAGTTTGTCTAGTGTACTTTTTCAATTGACTAATCAGGAATTATGCTGGTGTTATTCATTCCATTATTTGAAAAAAGGCCAAATTAGTGAAGCCAATTGAATCTTCAATAGCTTCATATTAGAAAGCTCAAGATATGACAAAAAGCTCGTGTTTCAATGAGCGAAGCAAAAGTACGTCTTCGATGTAATAATATTACCGGCAGTTCAAACCGTAGTCTTATCATTTCACACGAGTGTGCATGTTTATGAGTGTTGAGAAATAGTTGGAACAATTTCAAACAATTGAAAATCGTGGTTCGTTGTATTTTATGCTTCAAGATAATTCAAGAGCAGCAATATCTAAATGGCTCACAGGTTCAGCGACCAAATAACGGTTTTGTAAGAATATAATTTGTATGAATAATGTTACATTACATCGTTTAATGATAAATACACACAGCCCAATAACTACTTTGATGTTTCTGAAATGGATTTTTGGTTTCTACAGACGCATCAAGCTTTTTATAATTTCATGGTGTTAAAAAGCCTTTTCGCAAGTTTGTGTCCGTTGTTGTAGAAACTGTTTTAGGTTTTTATAAGGGTGAAAATATTTTTCATCTTACGAAAGTCAAATGACATTAACACAAAGATTAGCCGTGCACAGCGCTCGTTGACGAATGCTTTCGGTTTCAAAATAAAGCTCCCCTCTTTCTGTTCTATTCTTGGCAGGCCGACAAGAACCGGAGAACCCGCGCTTAGAACTAAATGTCGTAATGTCAATAAAATATGAATGTTTATTTTGGCCGATTACGAAACTCTTAGCGGGACTCGGATCGCGCATAAATCTCCAGCGAATCGCCTGATGGATCCACCCATGGCTGCTCAAGGTTAAACCCGCAACAAACACGTCGAAAATACTGTATTCCCGGGCCAAGAATAGCTCGCCTGGAGCGACCGTGTTTGTTTTCGAAAAACGCAACGCAGATTTGTTCGAAGCTGAACGTTAAGACGATTTCACCACAGCCGATATACACAACATACACAATAGTTCCGCTGTTTGTTTGACGCGTGATCGAATAAACACAGAGGAATATAATTGAACATAAATTCGACAGGCAAAATTGTTTTGAAATGTTTACATGTAGTATCTTAGATCATCCTCGTTTAAGATTTAATTAGCAGTGGATGAAGCAAGCCGCGAGAACAATCAAAGTACATTTGTATGTTGGCTATGTGTATGTTGGTCCAGACAGGAAAACTCATACGTGTTAGATGTATGTATGTATGTTGTGAGCATTCACGTATCACTTTATGTTGGCTTGGCAGCGGTAACTGGGGCCGTGTGCAGTACGCCTGAAGAATCTGGGCCGGCTGGAGTGACATAACTAAATTTGATCAGTGTAACAAAGCTAAGCAATGCCATCACTCAGTGCTATTCTAAGGACGGCATTCGGAAGATGACATTTAATGATATTTTAGTACTGAGTACATTATCTGTACCTTAGATTACAATGAAATTGCTGTTTCTTCGAATTTTAGATTTTCAGATTAGGCTAAACACAAAAAATATATTACTAGCTATTTGTTTCAGTAGATATGAAAGACATTGGTGTAATATTTGGCACAAATAGAAAAAAAATATACATATATTTTCTCCCAAATTTAGTAATAATAGTAAAGTAAAGTAGACTAACCTTAGAATCGATGCCGATGATCTTGTTGCACTCCTCGCAGCCGTTGGCGAAGACACTCTCATAGCACTTGATGCAGAAGGGGTGGTCGTCGCGCAGCACATAGCGCTGCCCGGTCAGCGACTCGTCGCACTGCCAGCAGCAGAAGTGACCGCTGTGCCAGTCCTTGTTCATCGCCTTCGTGTACTCGCCGCTGAAAATTAGCTGAGGACAAACAACCAGGACATTCAACAACTATTACCTACAACTAAACACAATCCAATTCACAAACACAAAGTCACTGTGAAATATCCATAGAGTGAGGAAAAGCTTATTACATTATTTTGTAATTTGATAGTTATGTGATAGTCGTATTTTCAAAATAGTGAAGAACTAATTAAAAACTACATGAAAATAATGTTTTAAGACTATTTTATTTTATCAATGTATACCTTAAATTAGGTCGGGTATGTGAGGGTGGCCAAAATTGGGTATACTACCCTATACTGATAGGTAACTCTAAACGTCACTAATGATCAAACGCGATCAGTAATCGACACTCGGACACAGATGCACTACGAGCAGCGTCACATGGCACTTGTCACGGGGTCAAGGGAGCTGGCCACCACTGCACATACCCATCGTCGTTGGTGTTGGTCGTGTTGGTCTGCTCGAGCTCGGTGACGGTCACCTCGCCGTCCTTAGATTCCCTACGCTTCGACGTTTTCTTGACCTTCCTGGTCTTTCTCTCCGTGGTGGTATACTGGACTTGTACATCAACGTCGGCCATGGCTAGAGTCGATGTCGCCTATCGTAGCAAAGAAAGCGATATCACCGAACGCGGTCGCGACCCGAATTCGAATGGCGAGCACCGGTAGAGCTGAATTGGAGGAATTATTCCAGAATCTTTAGCGGCGCAAGCGGTCGCGCCGGTGGGGGGAGTTTCGGATTTAAATTTGGAAGAGTGACGGAGAGGGCAGGTGCGCGGGCGGCGTTTCCGAACGTCCCGAGAATCGCACGTTTCCCTCGCGAACGTTTATCCCCCGCGCTCGCTTCACCAGATCCGATTCCGCCCCGAGCACTTATGAAATGTAGGCCGGCAAACATCAGTTACGATATTATTGAATCCCTTATCACTTGGCTCGTTTTGACTATCGCTCAATTGTAATTGGCAGGCATTTATTGATTGGCACAATACAAGCATGATTTGCTATAAGTCTGTCAATTTGTCGATTATCCGCGGCGAAGACACATTTGCTGACGGATCGAAACCTTAATCAGATATCTTCAGCTGACGATTATTTAAAATTTCATGATCAGATCATAAAACATATGTATAACCATGAATTATATCCAATTCGATTGAAATTTTATGATCGTTGTTTGCCTTCAAATCTTACTTTTATTTAAGATTAAAAACTGTTTATTGGAGGATAAATTACGAATGTCAATTAAAAATCGGAAGTTAAATAAACCTTTTTGTTGAATAAAATAACGCGATTTTGATCTGTAACAATAAGCATTGCAGCTACAGTTACATCAAAGATGGTATGTTTCGAAGAATCTTTTAAAAGAAGCACGCATTTAGAATGGTAGGGATTGATGGATTTACCCCACATGTTGCTGTTTATTCCTCGAAGCTATCATTACAGGACGCAATGGATTGGATTGTCTGTATACAAAAGTCACTTTAAGTTGTGTTAATATTTTGCATTGAACTAACATCTTTTATTATTCTGAATTAGCATTATTTTCTAGGTTAGACATTTAATCCAGGTCACAACTATTTTTTTAGTAAAAATATACTCATATTACTGCCTTATTACAATATTTGCGAGATGCTTTGAGTTATAAACTTTTCCTTGTTAAATTGATCAATTAAAATTCTTGAACAACGCATGCTCTATCATTTCGAAATGTCTAGACACTGACTGTGTTGTTTGTTTCAGACCTCGCAAGGTCTTGGTCGTGATCGTGAGAATCATTCACCGACTTAAAAATAAATACTTCCGGCGTCTCCTGAGACCGTGGGTTTGTAAGGCAACATCTGGTCGTGGGAGGAATTCCGCAAAATTGAGTTGGACGACGCAGCTTGTGGAAAATGCGCGATTTTCGTCACAATTTGTTATATTAAATTCTTAGAATAACTAGTGATTGTGATAAAAATGTTAAAAATAGAAGAATGACTTTAAAATTGGATGTGTTATAATTGATTGAAGTAAGTGTGCGTCCAAGTGTGTATGACTTGTGAAGGAAATAAGTGTGTCAAGACAGTTAATTGTAATGTTAAATCCGAAATCTCTACTTAATCAAGTATTGGTATCGACATCAAAATAACTAACACAAATTATTATTTTCTTTACTAATCTGTGTTTAGGTCATTAGATAATCGGAGTTTAAGTAATTATTAGTGAAACAAGAGGTTTAGTTGAGGTAAATGAACTCGTCCTTATCAACCTTGGTATTCTAAGGTGATTTACGAAGTTTTTCATAGTTTATCATTATTATATTTTTAAATTCAAGGCACATTCTATCTAGATTTTTCATGAACAACATCGTATTCGGATGAGTTGCCATCCCGAAATTGTTTTGATACATCCGATACTAAACAAAACAATAATTTATCATACGGTTGACATTCAGCAAAACCCACTCGTTTCGCAAAAAAACTGTTTAAAACGCATATTTTTTTTTAAATAGAAGCTTTCTTAAATTTTCCTCCAACTATATCATAGATATCGCAATTCCAATCAGTTAAAAAACTAGCCTTAAGGTTTGTACTCGCACTGCTGACGGATTTACATAAAATATTGTAAAGTTCAGTAACTAAGTTTTTATAATACTTAAGCGGGGAGTTAAATCCTTGGGAAAAATGTTTGTTTATGGTATAGTTATCGAATTTGGCTTGGCATTACGTCAAGTCTGAACGGAATATTTTTAGTCCGTGACGAACGATGATGGCGAACAAAAAAGGACGTATCTAAATTCGTTGTGAATACACCCACATTGAGAATTGAAAAGAAAATATCGCTTTTATAGAAAGGATACTATGTGATGAAAGACATTTTAATTCTTAAAAAATTTAAAACATTTAGATTTGTACTTTATCCTTGTATTATTTATGTTTTGTTTTTTTTTTTTTAATTCATATATTTGCGATAATATTATCTGTATTAGTGCAAAAATTTATGTTCGGAAAATGACAAGAAAATAAGAATTGACAAATCCTAATAGGGTTAGAGTGAATTTTATTTAATAAAACCAATAATTCAAATGTGAATTTTCTTTCATAAATAAAATTAACAACTAGAATATTAAAGTTGTAACAACATGGTCTTTTGACAAAGGATTGCTTTATTTTCTCATTACCGAGTTAGTGGTCGTAAAAACCTTTTGAGTGGTCGCTTTGAAATAAATGTAGTCGTGTTAGTTTACAGCAGGAAGCCCATTGTGTTAAAACAACCGCGGTCATAATATCGTTGCTAACTTGTTTTCTAAACCGCAGTATAGAAAAACATTGAGCGACTAGGTATGCGCTTACGAGCTATGCAGTTTAAGATTAAATTTTAATTTTATATTTAATACACGGTTGCTTGTTCTTTTACAGAGTTTGAGCTTCGCCTTTTTAAAATCTAATTGAATTAACTTATCAGGAATCGTCATTCTTTCGGTGTTTGGTTTGTGAAAAAAGCGTCATTGGATATCAATCTTTTTAATGTTTATCCTGGATTAAGTCCAATTTAGAGTTTGAAAACAATTAATTTTAAAACTGACGCAATTGAATATCTTCTTAAAATATAGAGTAAAAAAAATAAAGACAGTACGAACAAGTTGGAATTTTCATGCCACAAACTAATTATAAAGATTGGAGTATGTTAAAAAATTACATCCATAACCTTATAATAATGGGAGTTACTTATGATATCCTTTCGTGAATGCGACGCGCGTCATCTTCATTAAGAGACAAGTGGGTCGAGGTCCCCGGCTCACCATGTCTCGGTATTTTCGTACGGCTTATGCAACTCACATCCAATGCGACAAAATAATTTATGAAAGATCACAAATAGTTACGATATAAAGGTATTTCGAAATGAATGTCAATTTATCTATACTTAAATATAGGGTTTTAGTCTCTAGGTTAAAGTATCTAATCAATAAGTTACTAGAGTTACATAGACCCAATTTGCTTAAGTTTATTAAAGTTACGAGTATATAGCTGCTATCGAATTGTGGTCTTGGTGTTTAGTGCGAGTTTTAGTTATTTACGTTTTGATATATTTAGTGTAGCTGTTCTAGTCTTAACAACTTATTTAACCCGAGTTTCGTTAAGGTGTCAATTAAAAGACCATTTTGTCATCGCTAGATAAAGGTGTATTGCTTGTAAATGTAGCAGATGTGATATTTTACAAAGATTTTTAAGCATAGTTTTCGATTCTAGATTGTCTAATAAAAGCCAAACTTATTAAAGCTGCAATTTATACACTAGGTTCCCGTCGTAAAGGAATGTATTATTGAAACAACACTACGGAATGTAACAAAAACAAAACGCAAGGAAGGGTCTCAACGCTTTATATTCAACATTATCAGTCATGCTGGTATCGAAGCTGGTGCAAGCCGTGCGTCGGCAACTGCAAGCGCTAATCTCCGAAGTTAGCCCAGAAATCAACGTCTTCTTCCGTCTCCTTGGTTACCTCGTTTGTGTCTTTGTTATTGTCATTTTCTTCGATGAACGAGTCTAACTTCGGGACCTCTTTCAATCTAGGTCTGACCTCATCGACGTCCTCTTCGGGCGTGCTATCCACAGACCCTTCCGTGCTCCATCTATCGTTTCTTCTCTCCTTCGACTTCTCTCTCGATCGACTTCTGGAATAAGAACGTGTCGATAAATTAGGCGTGCTTCCGAATCTTCCAATGTTTTCGCTTTCATTCATTTTTCTAAATTCTTCCTCCTCGAGTGAAGTGAACATTTTTAATTCTTCGTCTCGCGATGCTTTTGACTCATTTGATGAAGAAGAATGGTGTTTCCTAAAACTTCTGCGACGCCCACTCGGGTCGTTACGTTGCAAAGGGCGAAACTTAATCCCGTCAAGAGATCTTAAACAAATTAACATTATGTGAGTCGAATATCATCAAGTGTAATGAATCCATGAAATAAGTGACTCGCTAATCTCTATGCGTGCTCTGGTGCTTATGAGGAAATGCACTAAATGTGAACAATCAGGTAA